ATATATATATATATATATTCATAGATATTAGAGTGCCACAAGGTGGCGCAAGACTTTTACATAGAATTAGCAGAAGTTGCATCTGATCTATTACCCACCTGGTAAAGAAGAGTATCCAGCATACTAATACTGAACACTCTGCCTGCAGCGAATGGGAGGCGGAACATGAATGCCAGATTTGAGCCCTTATCTCTCTCTATCTGGAGAAAAGGGAAAAAGATCAAGACAAAAGATTGATGGCTCTTTCCACTGCTGATGATTTGAGATTTTCAGATCATCTGGCAATTTGTGATACAGCATTATCGTAGTTTCAGTATTTTCAGCCATTTGAAGCATGCAATCACCACAAATGCATCATATTTACTCAGAAACATTCCAATGGACCATGTCATAATAAATGTGTAGCATTCAAGCAAAGTTATTTCATATCAGAGAAAAGTCTGAAATGCATTATGTTAATGTTAGGCCTGGTTAGAGTAGTTAAATTGTCAACTTGCAAGGAAGAAAAATTATAAATCATTATTGGAGTCCTAAAGTCTGGGATCACACTGACAATCTGGGACTCAGAATCTATTTTAAACCTGGAAATAAAAAAAAGTTTTTAGGATTTTGAAAAATGTAAAACAAAGAAATGACCAATAAATAATTTAGATCATTTCTTATTATTTCTGAACTATTTCTAAATCATGTGACATATGGTTTTACACAAACTCGTGGAGTTCATGCAAATTGAATTCAAAATTCATGTTAATTTTTTATTCAACTTTTCACACACACACTGTTACTGACAATATAAATGTGCAATAACTGAAAGGAACAAATTCTAAAAATTCAAAACAAAAACAGACTTTTGGATCCCGATGTAAGTCAAATGGTGTGGTTGTTTAGATATGACACCTTTTCGAGTTTGGAGAGAGCCAGGGAGTAGCAGTCTTTGGCACGAAACTGCATGAATCTCATATTAGAAGGATGGGTTAGCTCAGTGATTATGCTGAGACTAGGAAACAACCTAGTAGAGGACACAGTAACAGGAGAACAAAGATGAAAATGACGTTTTGCGGGAAAAACTCAGCCAACAAAGTAATTAGTATCCAATGCCATTTCCAGCTAATGTAGGGAAAGACATCAGCTTGAAGACAAACACAACCAATTAGCTGAAGTTATTAATGTTTGAGCATAAAACGTACCTGAACATGGTCTGCACATTGACTATGGTTTTAGCATCTGCCATGTAGTCTTCCTCTGCACTCATAGTGCTCTCCTTATCCACCACCACCAGGTTATCAGCGTAGATGATGCCACACTGCAGCAGGTTATCCAAACTATGACAGAAACCAGCACAAATCGACCGTTCAGACTGGACTAAAACCGGTTGTGTATGTATACTGAAATGTTTAAAAAAACCTACTTGTCAATGGTACCAGCCATGTAGTACACCATAGG